CCTGCACCTCTACCATCATATTTCACTTTATATTCCACCCGACCTTCAGTTTTGCTGATCTTATCAATCGTACAATCCCAAAATTTCAGATATTCTTCTTCAAACAACTTAAAGACTTTAGGAGTGTACACTTCTGATGCATGCCTCAACATCTCAACGTCAGCTTTTAACATAGGGCGGGTGTCCCTCATTTTGAACTCTGCAAGCAACTCTTGGTACCTTCTATCTTCTACCAACTTGTTATAATGGTAAAAAAAAGTAACCATATTGTGCTTCGGCTTCAGATACTTTTTTAGCACACTGTTAATTGATTCACTACGCTGTGTACTTTTCATATAAGCAGTAAACATATGACGTCCATAAACCATAGCCCACTTTTCTTTTATTGAAAATATACCTTGCAACCATTCATTGTTCAGCAGACCATACTTGTTAAGCATATCATCCCAACCTTTAAGCCATTCATCTTCATCTTCACCATCATATATACATGAACTAAAATCACTAGAGAATTGGTCGGATCCGTGAAACACATGGCTCAAGTGCTTAGCAGCATTTTGATAAATATGCCAAACACATAAACGATGATGAGTTTCAGTAAATACCTCTTCGATTGCTTTGGCCATTGCAGCTGATTGATCTGTCAAAATAGTCTTAGGTTGCTTTCCATCCATTGCACCCAAAAACGCTTCAAACAACCACTTGAAGGAAGTGATTGTTTCATCATAGAGTAATGCTGCCCCAAAAATTACTGTTTGCTTCAGATGATTGACTCCAACAAATGGAGCAAATGGTCGACCATATTCATTAGTTCTATAAGTGGTATCAAAGCATAGAACATCTCCAAAGTACTTGTAGTCAATGATTGACCTACCATCAACCCAGAACATATTCATGATAAAATCATCATCATCAAGTTGCACCGAATAAAAAAATGATGGATCGGCTGATTGTGCTTTACTAAAATAATCCATAATTGCCGGACCATCTCCCTTTATCATTGTAGCCTTTCTTTGGGTAGCAATATAGTTTCTATAGTCTGAATCTAGAAACCCGTTGTTTTCACGACCTCCATTCTGAATTGCTAGTAAATCAATAGTTGCTTTGATTGGTAACCCAGCTCTCTCAGCATCATCTGCAATAGCCTTCTGAGTAGGGGTGTGCAACGGTTCGGTTCGGTCCGGACCGGACCAAACTCATGAGAACCGCGGTCCATTAGTGAAAGACATGTTAGGACCAAGGACCGGACCATTCTTGCATTCGGTCCATTTGGTCCGGTTCGGTCCGGTCCAAATATGAGCTCGGTCCACCATTTCTTCAGTAATTATAAAATTCATTAGGACCAAGGACCGGACCGTATTTTACTCGGTCTGGTCCGGTCCGGTCTTAACAACGGTTTGGTCCGGTGTGGTCCGGTACGGACCGGACCATTGCACACCCCTACTTCTGAGCATAACTTATCTTCCTGTTGGATCTCAACATGTGCTTCATGGGAGTGGGAGCAAGTTCATGGTTATGATCTCCTTCAAAAGAAACAACCTCTAGCAAGCCATCATTTTTTAGTTGGCATGTCATATGTGCCAAACATCCAATTCTTGAAATTGGTCGCTCAAAAGCCACATGCTCACGCCTTTTATCAAACCCTTTTTCACCTTCTTTAGAACAGCAAAATATTCTTCTCTTCACTTGCCCGACTTGATTTCGCTTTATATAGTCCTTCCTTACACTGAAACCAATACTGTGGGCATATGCTTTATAAAATTCATAAGCACTATCATCACTATCGAACTTCATACCTATACATGGCACTTCAACTTTTTCCGCAAAACTCATATGTGTTCCTCTTTACAAGAAATACAAGTTTCACAAAGAAAACCTGCATACACAAACAACAAAATAAAAATTTAAATTAATATTAACCTAATGAAAAGCTTTTCCTTTCATATATGTTGGTTGTGTACCGTAAAACAAAACCAGTTCATATTAATGCAAAACCATCATATTTAATTAGACTAGTTTTAGATGAACTCCTAGCATCCATATCTTACCTTTTCGACTTGATTTGGAGGTCTCCGAAAGCTAGCGTCGAAGGCAGTCAAAGTAGTAGTAGAGATTATTTTATCAAACTGTCTTCCAGTTGCGGGCGTTGGAGGAGTTGAACGCAATTGCACAATGGATACTAGAGCTAGGAAGAAGCCGGCAGTGAGAAGAAAAGATGCCGTCGTCGGCGCTGATTTGATATCTGAGAACGCAATAAAACCTAAAGAGGCTGCACCTCTGTGTTTAATTTTATTATATGTCTTTTTCCAATTAATAAAAGAAATATATAATAGAATATAATAATGGAATAAAAGTTAAAGACACAGCACCGTTTGGTTGCTTCTCCGTCCAAGAAAAAGGATTCCGTCCGTTCCGTCTCCCGTCCTTGTTATTAAATTTAATAATTAAATGTTAATTCTATGAACCAATTGTATGCTGGCACGTCAATGGGTAGCAGCCATGCGTTGCAACCCAGTAAGCAGCCAATTATCGCCCTATGAAATATATTCGTCTACTATGATTTGCTTAACACTATTCGTTTACTATGCCGAAATGATCAAACATCCATTTATTAAGTTTTTCATATAATTTCCATTAACCACGATCATACCATGGCTTGTCAACTTTGAAATGGCTAAGCTAACCCTAATTATTTGAGGAAAAAATGCGCTAGATAAAAAGCTCAAAATTATGCTGGATTACTTTTGTAAAAGGATAAAATAACACTAATAATAACCCATTAACTCACCTAACCCCTATGGTTCATGCCATCCATCAGTTGACCTTTAGCATTCATTCTAACTTCCCGTCCCTTCTTTTCTTTGGGAGTTGCTAAAGGTCTCTATTAAAATTGCTAAATGTCGCCCTAAAAAACATCAAAGTTACAAATTTAACCTTTTAGCTTCTTTACTCTTCCTTTAGCAAACAAACACCACTTAGTAAATAAAATAAAAAATTATTCAAAAGAGAGAATCCATCATCGTCAATCTGGAGTTGGAATCGTCGATATGATGTCTGGATCATGACTAGCGACTCTGAATCGGTAAAGTTCACTAAAAAAATTGAAAAAAACAAAAAAAGTGAACCGTAGCTCATTTGCGGTGCACCATGGGCCAACCGCAGCTCACTTGCGGTTGCACCATGGACTAACCGCAAGTCAGTTGCGGTTGAGCGTTTTTTTGGAAATTTCGTTAGAGAACGGGCGACGACGACGGCGGGAAAGACACCGACGAACTAGTGCGTCGAGAGGGATTCACGAAGAAGGCAGATGAGGGGTCAGTTTGAGGGGTTAGGAATTGTTTGGTTTGTTTAAATTTTGAAATTTTATTGGGAGTATATAAATCATTTATCATTAGAGTTAGAGCAATCGTTAGCAATTTTAAGGGCGACATTTAGCGATTCAGTTTTCTTTTGCCAAAGCCGTCCCTTCTTATTCCATCTGTAATCATTTCACACGGTTTCTACACTTTCAAGGCCTTATTACATATATATATATAATATTAATAGCTAACAGAAAATGTTCTTTAGGGGTCAATTTATCCCACACAAAAAAATTGTTTCAATATTCCTCCGTAAATAGACCGTACTGTTTTCTGGTGCCACCCGCATCTTATTTAAATTGAAATGATCATCAATAATTGGCAATTTTATATACCACTATCCATCAATTTAGTAAGTCAATGGTAAAAACAAAGCAATTTCTTTAAATGCTGTTCGAATAATGGAATGTCAACGCAGATGATTCAATCCAACGGCCACCATAACCCCCGAAAGAAGAGGTTTATATAAAAGAATATTATGCGCGCGGCTGGTGAAAGGAGTGGAAAATAAAAAGTACTAATCCAAAAGAGGACAGTGAATGAAAAGTCTACTCTTTTTGGTGTGCGACAAAACTTATGGTGTTCAAATAGTTATTATGATAATTACCAAATCAATTAATTAGACATTTTATTAATTATTGATCTAAATATTAAAATGAGACGATCAAACTAATATAACAATTAAATTAATCAAATTAAAGTTTAATCACTTTATTTAATTGGTTAACTGGGTTAATCAATATAATATAATATAATCATTAGATGAGAAAAATCCTAATAATGCATTAATTTGTAATTTATATAATAATAAAGTATATCGATTAATACATAGTTAACTCTTACGTAAATACATGCAACTAATAAAATTATATTACAGTCTCTAAAAGTAGTCACCTAACAAAAATATATGTTAATGATATGGAGTTAATGAATGAGTGTGTATGTGTGAATAGACTAATTTGTCTTAGTCTCTCAGCAATTATTAAAGGATAAAAAAATCTCCCATTTCAGATTTTCATCCAACATAATGTATGAGATTTATCTTAAATTAGGTGTTCATATGTCGTTGTCTATTATCTATAAGAACAATACAATATAGGAACAATAATGAACTTTATTTTGTATGGATCTAAAAGGGAGGAGCGCTTGGCTCTTGAGTGATTATGCAAAGTACTAGTACAATATTAGAATATAATAGATAAACGACTAATTTGGTACAATCTGATTCCCAACTTGCTATTCAGTTGATCAATGACAGGCACGATCCAGTTCATCCGTATGCTACTTTGTTGTCCTCTATCCGCAGGCGAATCAGTAGGGACTGGTTGGTGCGTATATCTCATGTATACCGTGAAGGGAATAGAGTCGCGGACTGGCTCTCGAAGCACAGTCTCGTCTATCCCTATGGGGTACATGAGCTAGCGCACCCTCCACCCAGTCTGCTCTCCATTCTGCGGGATGATGTTCAGGGTGTTGCCTTTCAAAGGCGGGTTGTAATTCCTTCCTCCCCCCCCCCTCCCCTCCCCTGTAACCTCTCTGTTCTTGGCTTTGCCTCCCTTTATGCAAAAAAAAATATATATATATAATAGATAAACGACTAATTAATTAATTGGTTTGATACTTTGTTTGATATTAATGACTCACGTATGACTTTCTTTATTAAAATTTAAAGGGTTATATCTTTCATTTTTTTTTTGACAAAGGGGGATTTTATTGCACTTAAAACCGGTCAGTTACAAAGAGGGAGAACGAACCAACAATCTGGTTCCAACAAGAGGAAGCCCAAGGGCATTCGGTTACAAACAAAGTTGTGTAAGACAAAATGCAACAATAAAGAACATAACACATTCTGCAAGCAACCACCCAAAAGAGCAAAACCCTTGACCGAAAAAAGATCATCATGAATCTCTCTAGCAAACAACCAATCAAAGTGCAACAAAACCACAATCAGCTTGTCCGATCATATTGAAATCCATGGTAGGTGAACATCATCACTCCATGTGCCGCCTCCTGGGGAAAACTCAAAGGCATCCATCACAGTGAATCTAGAAACTAGATTGCGTGGCGGTGGAAAAGGATATGAACCAGATTGCTCCAAACTGAAGAGGCAGAGGAGGCCGAGGCAGAGAGATTAGGCTCGAAGAAGAGCAGAAGCTCCCAAGGTAGCCACAAACTCCACGAAAAACACCGATTCCCAACCGTAACCACCGGAGAAGACCCAACCCACCACCATCCGACGGCTCACCAAGCCACTCAAACACCTAGGGAGGTCGGAGAGGAAAAGAAGACAATGGCTTCATCTTGAAGATGAGGCCACCAACGAGGGACTACCCCACCATCCAGATCTGGAAGAGGCTCCCAAGTTGCAGACTCCAACTGCTACGACGAGCAAGCCCAAGAACCGAGAACCTAGATCTGAAAGAAGAGTCATAGCTCGACTGGAAAGGAAAAAACTGAAAGCCACAACGGATGGAAATCCGATTGAAAACTGCCTAGGACTTAGGCAAAGGAACAAAGCATGATAAAGAAACAAAAAAAATAGGAAAATAAAAATTTTGGGCCACCGCCGGTCACCTAAAAGGAGCCGGCGGCAGCCCCTGAAATCAGAAAAGGAAGACTAGAAGAAGAGAGAAGGCAGAGCAAATTTCAAAAAGGAAAGGTAGAGAGAGAATGTCCAGAACGGTCCTTCATTTTAATTCGAAATTCAGTTTTTTGCACCGATAAATAAGAAACTTATATTATTCAAAATGAGATCCATTTTGATGTATCTTAAAATAAAAAATTTTAGAAATATTAATTATATCACTATATATCATTATGGTAAAGTTAGTAGTACACATAAATTATATCATGGTAATATGAAAGTGTATTATGATGATATGAATATACCACAGTGTAGAATGATGGTATACATTACGGTAGAAATATACTAACAACTATCTACAACCTTTCACCACAATTTACCATTATAGTATATGGCGGTATATTTTGAACCCAATTTTTCCCCGAAAAACATGTTGATTTTTTAGGATCACGATGAACGTGTTTTCCTGTGCAAATATAATTCTCATCTAACAAAATTTAACATCATTCTCATTTAACAAAATGCCAGAAACTTTAACATCGTTGAGCCAATAAGGAGAATGACACACATTCATGTATGTGTAATCGCAATAATCCATGATGATAACATAATAACAACGACATATATAAGACGTTTGATCCCCCAGCAGCAGCTCTAGCAGGATTGTCATCAGTGTTTGTCCTGTTGCTGAATGTGACCAACTTTGCGGAGGAAGGATTTGTTGAGGAAGTTCTGGCCGTTGGTCGTTGCCAGATCGGGCCGGTCGGCCTCCGACATCGATCCCCTCCTCGTCTTCCTCAGGCTCACCCCAGGAGAGTGCACCAGCTGCTGCTTCGCCGTGTGAACCCCGATTGCTACCGCTATCGAAACAAATCCCATCACTATGTACACCGGCGCGTACTCACCCGTCAAAGCATACCTACACCACACGTTACATTATTAGATTGAATTCTGTTGTTGGTGATCGTTAAATCGATGCATTGAAATCGCGTTATATGCGTCATACTTACTTGTTGTATGGGGCACTATTGTTTGTAGGAGATGATGAATTACTAGGCGGGGCCAGTTTGGGAGCAGTGGCAGATGCCATGCATTTCTTCTGTCCCGAGGATCCAATTGTACTCTTGATGATCGGCAGTTTTGGTGACCATCTCCAATTCCTGATCTGCTTATTGCATAAGAAACCATTTTACATGAGTACTTGTCATCGAGAACCAATGACTCCTAATAACTCGATCGAGTTTTCGTGATAAGTTCAATTATGAATGATATATTATTTACCAATACAGTATGCACAATCAGAATGCATTTCGCTAATATAATTACAGAGAGAAAGGTTACTGACGGTGGTTGCCAACATGGCTATATCGATTGGAAAAATAATGCAACGTAACTCAGCGTAGTGATCTCTGCAGGCTAGCTAGTAAGCGAATTGGATTTGGTGTTTATTGCAGAGGGTTGATCTTCTCCTGTTGCTGGAACATTTTATAGTCATATATTGAAGTTAATTAGGGAGGGAGGAGAAGGAAGGAGGGGGAGAGAGACATATGTCTCGTTTTCCTTGATTTCCTGCTTCGAGTGTAACTATTTTCCATTCTTAGCTTTATCGAGTTTATTTTTCAAGTATTTGAACTTTGGATATTTCCTTGTTGGAGAGCCAGTTATCCTATACAATTGGAGAGAAATCAAAATATACACATTTCTCGTATCATAATTATTATCATCTTTTTATCTTATGTCTTCTTATTTGACTATTTGTCGACAACCACATCTGCTTGCTCAGTCATTTGTAAATATCTATTTATGAACTTTACTATCTTTGGGACAAAAAAAAAAAAATTCTCTTTTAGAATTGAAATAATTTTATATACTAGGAAATAGGCAATGAAACATTCAACAACAGTGAATGTTCAAAGATACAAAAATTACAAATGCTAGGCATAAATGACCTAATGTTGCAAAATCGCAAGTCCAAAGTGCATGCACCAAAAATTATGGGTGATTGGGCTGAAAAATACGTGGCTCGCGCTCACACTCACGCTGAAAAAAAGATCATATACAACAAAATTTGTAACACCCCAATTTTTGTTTTAGGTTCAGCCCAAAATAAATACATGGGTTGGATCGAGACAAATGGCGGGCCTATAGTTGAATTAATGGATGACAAATATTGGGCGGATATATATGGATGGATTCGGAATTGAGGCCCAAGATTGGCTATGTCCAGGACCGGTAAATAGAGCGGATTATAAACCTTCATTATATATACTAGCTTTTTACCCGGCCCGTTGGCTGGTGAGTTTCATTTTATCATTTACATTAATCAATTTATCTATATGTTTAAATTATTTTGGATCTTCTAAATTTTTTACATTTGCATTCATATGTGAGTATGCAGTGCGTCTATAAATTAAAAATTCTCAAAACCTAGCACATGCACTTATGATGTTTCGATTATCTGATCATAAATCATGTCACAAAGATATATCACGTCCCATATAGAATCATATGTCAAGATTTGTCAACAACGATACTCAATTTTTTTTTATCTTGTACAATATATGTCATTCAACGAATCTTGAGTTTGGACGAACTCTCAACCAATGATGTTGCTCAGATGACGACAACTTAGTTAGAATTTTTTTATAAAATTACTTCAATATTAGATAAATTTGGTCATCCCAATTGAAAGTTTACTATCTTAGTGTATCATCATATTTGTCGATCAAGACACTCAATTTAATATTTTATACAATATGTACCAATTGTTAATACCTAAAGTTTAATTTTGACTCACCCTCAACTCATGGTCGTTGTTTAGATGTTGGTTTAGAATCTCGGTCCAAGATACTCACACACTGTCGAGGGTTCTAATCTTAACATGGTCCATTAGTGTATAATTTGCTAACTTATCAAATATGCATTTGCTAAAATTTATTTATCTTTGGTGTTTGTTTTGGGATAAAAATTCCATTACTTATACTAATATCTTCATTTTATTGGTGTAGTGCCACATCCCTAATCAATATATAAGCATGATACTATACTCTAAGTAAGAAAACGCTATCAGAATCACGAATTAACCGGATTTGTGGGCATGATACTATACCCTAATCCTTGATAAGTGAACCCGAGGTCTTAGTTATCTAAATCATAGAGCTTAACCCCTAAGATTGTGCAGGTAATTTGTTGCATATATTTTTTTGAATCATGACCGTTGATTTTTGTTTATAATTAAACTGATTTTAGTGTATGAGATTTATAAATTTAAGACCTAGATTTTAATCTTTAAGGCTTTGAGAATAATACCATATGCCAAACTCTAGTCAATTCAAGGTCTATATATCGTTTTCTTAATCAAGGTATGTCATAATATACATATATAAATATAAAGAGTTTAATATATTTTTAAGTGTAGTTAACACCTTTGTTTGACCGAAATATGTAAACTGTTAAGAAAAATAAGGGGAAATATGAACAAATGTAAGAGAAAATAAGGTATGGAAACATGCATTATAAGAGACATGAAAAGTTATATTTCTTTATCGCCTTCATTTGTACAATCAGGTACTACATTATGGCTTCGTCATGTTTCTATTAAAATGAAAAAAACAAATTTTGAAGTATTTTGCTATTTAATACTTGTTTTTGTTGATAGATACAAATATTAGAAAAAGATAGTGTTTGATAACCAAAACATAAAATTATAGGGTATGCCTACTATGACATGCATGTCACGGTGACATGCACTTTTCGGTCGACCTATTGCTGAAGGCGGTCGACCGAATCGACTAATTTGGGCAGCACGAGAAAGCATTGCGGTCGACCTCAACGACCACCTGGTCGACCGCACTTAGTTTAAGTTGTTATTTTTGGTCGACCAGAATAAAACCTAGGTCGGCCATTTCGTTGGCGTCAGAAACAACATGGTCGACCACCTAAGGTATATAGGTCGACCACTTGATTGCAGTCATTAACAAAATGGTCGACCGGATGATGAAAGAGGTCGACCAGATAGAAGATAAGTGTTCTATCAAAGTGTCCAATTATTTGACGTAAAATCAAGATCAAGTGTTGGTTTTGCGGTCGACCTAATCCGTTACGAGGTCGACCGAATACAAGAAAGTCACCCTATGCCCCGTGTCTTTTTTGCTTATGTATGTCGATTTGTGTGGTTCTTTTAATCGTATAAATTATGTTTCAAACCATCATAATCAGTCATAATTATAACAAGGACTCATCAATTCATAGCATAACAACTAAAAATAAAACAGAAATCATAATTGTTCACACATAAAAATAAAACTAAAAAAACAACAGAATAACACTCAACAATCGTTTTGACCACTAAAACACACAATATAAAAACTCATTTCTCCTACTCTGATAAAGTACCAGGGGGGTGCTTTTGATCAGAATACGCAGCTCACACACACAATCGAACGATAGATGATGGATAGGTAGAATTCTCGCCACAATCGAGGTGATTAATCGATTGATAAGAGAACTTGCTAAACGATTCTGGAATCCACTCAGAATAGCTTCACAAGGGTCTTGTAATTAGCTAAGGAATCCACTCGTAGCTAATGACAATGGGTAAACTCTCGAGACGCAACTCAAGAACTCCAAACACTCGGTTTGTATTCAATTCAATCAACTCTGAGTTTTACAACGAAATAGAAAGCTTAAATAGGCCTAGCTAGGGTTACACACGTCCCATAAACTCCTAATTACAGTCTAATACGAAAAGGAATAAAAAAACTACCAAAACAATGAAATCCTAACTAAACAAGAAAAAGAAATATGCCTTTAGCTCCAAGTAACCAAACAGCTTTGATGCCATCTTTGAGCCTCTCGATCAAAGCCTTCCAAGTAAGCTTCCAATCATCCAATGCCATATCTTTGTAGTAGAACATACCTACTTTCATGTGGTTTAAGCCTCTGGACTCGAATCCCATTCATGCTTCTGGAATGGAGCTCCAAAGCAGGCTTCTTGAACACAGTTTCTGCCTTAACCAAATTCTGGCAGTTTTCCAGTTTTGAGGTAGCAACTTTGAGGCCTTGGAAAACAACCTTAATGACATCATCTGGATCTACAAAGCATACCATTGGAAAGATGGAAACTTTATCTGCAATACAAACCCTTAACATTGAATTTCCACTAAGCCAATTGAGAGAACCATGCCTCCAAAGTATGTACCATGAACACGGATTTTGACTTAGCCAAATTCTGCCCTTCTTCTTCCCAACTTCGATAGCTTCTTTGTCAAGTAATAAAAGCGTGTAGAGTTGGCCATTTAGGATCATATCATACTCATCTCCCCCCTCTCTCTCATCCACATTTTCTTCATTGGTGGTGCTAGCATGATGGTGGTCGGATGTGGTGGGATGCATGTATCTTCCGCTGAAAGATCGCCACTCATCTCGCATATCATTCACGGTCACCTGCATTGTGCTCATCTGGGCGGTCATTTGCCCCATGTAGTCGTGCATGCCAGTCATCTGGGTGGACATCTGGCCCATGTACTCGTACATGCCATCCATGCGCTCCCACACACGCTGTAAGGTGATCGGTGGAGTTGAACTCTGTGCCTCCGCCATTGGCTCGTCTCGAGCTCCTTCATCACCCTCATCATCATCATCATCATCATCATCATCATCATCATCGTCACCACCATGAGCATTGTTTACTCTGACATACTCACCATTACGCAGCTCAAAGCCCATCTTTTTCAGAGATGAAACAGTATAGAACTCATGCCTTGAGATTCTTAACCCCACCTCTTCACTTAAATTCACATTAAAATGCTCAAATAGCACAGTTAGGATCATCCCATAGGGAAGATTCCTGTTTGAACTCTCTGCAGCAGTAAGCATGTGGTTAAAGATTAAGTATGGCAAGTTCACCTTCTCGCTTAACAGTAGGTTGGTGAGGAGCTCCATGTCGAAGTAGGTGACTGTCTCCCGATGTCCACCCTTTGGCAGAATGTTGTAGGAAAGCATGTGGTGAAGAACTCTGGCTTGAACTGTCAGGTGGTTACTCGATGGCCTATTGCGCCCCTGAGCATCTTCCTCTTCATCAAGACCACATACCGTCTGGATTTGCTTGGCTCTCGTGAAATGCGTTTCATTCCAAGCACCGTAAGAATTGATTCTCTTCCCCTCGTTTGGAGCCTCAAGTACTTGCGCCAACACATTCTTGCTGATGCGCATCGCCACCCCATTCACATAGGATTTGAATGCGTGAATGGATCCATTTGCATTGCGCTCGTAGACGATGTTGTTGTAGAAGTACTGTACCAGTTTTGGATAGTATGGTACATTGAGAGATATCACCTTCAGCCACTCTTGCTCGATGAAGGGTCCCAGAAACCCGTAATTCTCGAAATGAGAATACGCATCCGTCGTCAATGGCCTTCCCGGAGCCACCATGCGGTTGTGCATGCTCTTCTC